CTCTATTCGACGCTGTACTCCGGTTTCACGTTTCTGCATGCACCGCAGCCAGCTAATCGACCGATCAGATCGCGGATCACTTCCCAAAAGTCTTTGCAAACGGTATCGTTTGACCGGGGTATCGTCGAGCGAGATATTGCAAGCCTCTGTTAAACGATAATGCAATTCATTCTGCTTGATATACGGCCGAGAGATTAGCCCGATGGGGATTCGAAGAAACCTGGCCCGTTATCGCGGCCGGCAACGTTAGCGCGGATTCACGCGTCTGACTTATGACGGCTTATACCACTTACGGATGAATTCCGCGATCAGTAGTAACTGGTCTGTCATCAATTACCAGCGGGCGTTCATCAGGCTTACGATAAGAGGAGCAAACTACCTTCGACTGGACGAATCAGATACAGACGAAATCAAGGAAACCTCGTGACACGTGTATAAATCACTCGAGGTGATTAATCTTCGAAACTGCGAGTTCCGCCGTAGGAACGTCGTCCGTTTGAGAGTTCTTTGCGTCTTTTCCACGGAGGTAATCGGCATCGGAGGAGCGAATAAAAAAATTGATTGATTCAATTGTTCAGAAAAGTCGAACCGATTGATTCAATTGAATAGGAAAGTCGATTGATTCGTTTTTAAGTGATGAATTTAATAGAAAAATTGATCGATAGAAAATCGAGCGGGAAAGTTGATTAAATCGTCTTCGACTAGAAAATTGAATAGAAAAGTTGATTGATTCATTCTTGGGTCGAGCAGAAAATTTGATCAGTTACTAATAGAAAATTGAATAGATAAATTGATCAATGAAAAATTGTGCAGAAAAGTTGATTTACGACTTATTCTCGAGTGGAAAATTAAACAGAAAAATTGATTTCTTGTGCAGAAAGTTGATCAACTCGTTTTTGTGTGAAAAAAACATCGAGTAAAAAGAACTGATTAATAATTTGTAGTAATGGTAATCTTCGGACGAAGGTAGTTTTATCTTCTAAAAAGATTCAAATAAATCTGAATCTGATCCTTCGTACAGAGCGACTAGGTGTCATTCGGTGAATTTCCCAACAGATCGAATTCGACCGAGCAGTGGTTCGCGAGACCCGGAATCTTGTTTATCAGATCGCGAAACAGACTCGGCTCCGCGGGAATCTCATCGTTTCGCGGGGTTACGCGGAGGTGCGGCGGTGCACAGTAACGCAATTAGAGTAGCAGCCCCGATGCGTTCGTCATCGTGAACAATGCGCAATTTTCTCGCGGGCGCGGTTGCAATCGAGTTAACCGCGCGATTCTCTATAACGCGATAGAAATTCAGTCAGGATGAAACACGGCCATTAGCGTGGCTATGGCCGTTCGTGATCATGATATTAACCAGTTTCCGACTAGATTACTGGTCATTACGTAGAATCGTCGGTCCGGTGAAATTCACGAGCCTTTCCTCTGCCTAGTTCTTTTCCCCGAGATTGAGTCAAATGCCTACGAATTTAAATAAAATTTACTGCGACAGCTCTGCGATTCGTTTACTGCGACTAAATTTTCTTTTTTCTCGTTTTGTAATATTTGTGTAATATTTTTCTCTGTTCTCACATTTTACTGCAATGACTAAATTTGTACAACTGTATAAAGAATTGTACAGTATATATCATAATAGTATATATCAAATTTACAGTTACAATTATACAGTATATATCGTAGTATATATCAAAATAATAACAGTATATATCAGAATTATACAGTATATATCAAAATAATAACAGTGTATATCAAAATTAATGTATTTAGTATGTATAAAGACAAGCAATTATTAATGTGTAAGATTATAGTGAAAGAATGAATATAAGCAAACGAATATAGTTCAACTTATTGCAATACATTTTCAGACGATGACGGATCGCTGAAAATCACGCTACGGTAGCATCAGTAGTTGCACCATTAATTCATTTTCGTTGACTCGTACTACTTTCCCACTGGACTCACTACTTCTCCCTACAAGGAAGCTACTCGCCTTCGATATTTACTGAAAAATGATTCGACGCGCGATCTCTGAAAGGATCGATTTATCACCGTCGTCATACTGCATCGTCAAAAAATGATATCGCGAAAGTCCGTTCTATTTTTATGAAGGTATAAACCGGAATCTGCAATTCTAGTTTGGTTAGAGAATAAACCAACCGATCGAAACGATATGGTGCGATCTCGATTCGCGGATTGGATAGCGGCGCGTATGTCGAGTTTACTTTAATACGGTGGCGTAAAAGAACAGTGCCATTTTTGTGGATATATTTGACCACGATCGTGCAGAGAATCCGTTTCACAGTGCACATTAATAAATTCGAAATTTGATGGATTTGGCGCATTTCGATGGATCCTAGCGATTCGAAGGACCATAAAATCGCAGCTTGTCGGTACCATCCGAAGAGTTACACAGATCGGATGGAAATAAAGTCGTTTTTCATGAAAATTCATGACGACAATTTTAATGAACTATTCGCTCGCATTGCCATATAAGTATTGCAGTAAATGCATGATTTTGATTATTCTGAAATTATTCGCGATTCTTCCGTATTTTCATTATACTGAAATTACTCGCGTTTCGTTTGTTCGTACGCGAAATTTTTAATAAATTTCTTCTTTTTTAGAATAAACGGATTATTGTAGTTCTGTGATTTCTTATTACTTCGGAACCTTGAAAGTAATTGATGGTAATTCCAAACAATTTCTATGAACTCAATAATTCACTGTATTTTAATGTAAGGTATCGTGCAATTGAAATTCGTAGAAATAAATAGTAAACGATGAACAGATTCAGTTTCTTCGAGTTTCACGAAATTTACTATCTCAGGTGACAAAAATACTGAAATAAAAATATTGAACTTCATCTTCAAGGCGTCGCGTTAACGCAACGTTCACGTTCGAACGATTAAAGCAAACAACTTACGTAGCAGCAGATCGATAATCGTATCGATTATACCCCTATATGCGTCACGTGTGAGTAGTTGATCATGCACGTCGATAGAGATTCACACAGTTAGAAAATCAGGGCTACTTTATGAGGGTTGACAAGTCGATGGAGAGCTGAACTCCACTTCGACAGCTGGTCGTTGAAGCTTCACTTATCGGCCCGACAAATTATCGCGTTTAACAATTCATTATTCACCGCGGCCAGGCCGCTCTCGGTATCACTTTTGTTCCGCTGGAATTTCACGGTCATTAATCAGATTTAATCGAGAGAGGGGCGGCAGAAAGTAGGCGGGAAGCTGGAAAATTAGTTTTGTATCAATTAGTCGATTAATCTCCATTAGATCGTTATTAGATGGCACGCGACGCGTCCGTGGGTTCTCGAATTCTTCGATTGTCTACGAATAAGCTAGATTAATAATTTATTCAGCTCGTTCGACTGAGAATAGAAGTGGAAGATAAAGGGAAATGGGTCTATCAACAGAACTATCAACGCGTTATTTTTTATTTAATAGGCTGCGTATGTTCGTAAACTTTTGAGAAATTTAAAAATGCAACAACTCGTACGTTAATCAAGAATATACGGAACAGACACAGTAGAATACTTTAATATTTAGTAGACGAAGTCCTATTTGTGTCTCGGTTCTTTGGCCACGTTAATGAAACTGTAGCAATGCATAGAGATCTACTCATAAGTCTACTTGCAAGTATTTGAAAATTGTGTTAATAAGAATATAAATTCGTATAAATGTTAGCAGTTTAGCAATATAATAATAGTATTTGAATTTAATAAAAATATTAGTTATTAACAATGCTTATTATTATTTTTTTTTTGTAAAACTGGTAAACTGGATTTAAATTATTTATTAAAAGACATATCTGTTAGATATAACAAATATTACTGTTCACGTATTAACGTTGAAAGTCTTTCTTAGTTAGCGCGATTCATTCGTAATTTTGTAATTGAAAGATCTGCAAGTGTGCGTATATACTTTTTCGCGGAAATGTGTGTAAAAAAGATGAAGAAAAAGGAGATTTCAGTGGTCTCTTTACACCTGTAATTACGGTTCTGATTGCGCTTCAACGCCTTTAGCCTGAAGCCAATTAGAAGCTGTACAAGCAATCCAGGTAGAACCGCTTCTAATTGACGCGATCGATAATCGGAAACGCCATCTTTAAGTTGATTTACGATCGTCTTTGGACACGAGAGAAACATTTGGTTATACGTGTTAGATTCTTTCACAAGTTTCGTTTCTTTCTTTAAAATTTAACACGAAACAGGAGAAAAATATTGCGGCTCGAATCATCCATATGTTCTCTCTTACATATCATTATCTCTTTGGTCGAAATTTCTTAGCCAAAATTAAATTTCAAAATGCTGAAAATCATCTTTGATACATATATTATTAACATTAATATATTTCTCACATTAAATACTGACTAGTTAAAAAAAAAATTGTACAAAATTAAATCAATACTCGTTACTTTTAACCTAAGTATTTAATTTTCCTTTGATTTACTCTTTTTGCCATTCTATCGAAAATAGACATCAACTAAGGAAACAAAGAGTTGGAAAAAAAAACCAAACCAGTGGAAAGACAATTAAAGACAATTTTAATCAAATGTAAAGTCGTTAGAGAGCATAGGAAATAAAATGGCGGTCCACGACCGATCAGTTCTCGCGTGCAGAGATTCTCGCCCGCTATAAATACGTAATCCTCTTTAATTTTGTCTAATAAAAATCTGTGACGTAGAGGAAACGCGGACGAAAAGCAGCAGAACCAGCGGAGATAGAATGTTAGAATATTATAGATCGAGACGTTTCTTCCGTTTTGAAAGACGGTCGACGCGCGTCCCGGTTTCTGATATGAAACCCTACAGGTGTGCACGAACGGCCGCGGTTTTATATGTATCGCGTAGCATTTTACCATGCTCGTTCGGCGGAGGCTGCGCCCACCAATAGGGATTGTTCACATGCACGCTACAAGGGCTGTAACATCGAGCCTATTGGATTTCTTTTTTTCTTTTTTCTTTTTTTTTTTTTTTTTTATACGCACCTGAACTTCTAAGGCATGGTAAGCAAATATGAGGCCAAGCAGTATCACAGTAGACACAGAGATCAGGGTTTTCAGTGCTGTCGAGTAAAACGAGGCCTGCAACATAAAACGTCGTCCTCGTAAATCCCAGTTCTGTCATTTTTAGACGATACAGAGATCGCCTTTATACTACCGTCTCATCTCTAAATGCGTATTGTTCCTCGAGAAAAGAGAGACACGTCGGAGAATGCAAGAGAATTCTGTAAATGGAAGGGGTTGATTGGCATTAGCTCGCGAAAGTGAAATGCTATACTGAGGCATGCGGGGAATAGAGAGGGGTATGGATATTTTAATAAAATACGCAAGTTATTAATCGCGTGGTATTTTATATATATCGTTTCCGCGGGAAAAGTTAAAAACGCTATCGTAATGTTTAGTTAGCGGAAGCAGATTTCTTCGAAGGTTATTTCAAATATAGAAATAGAAACAGAAGAAGGAATCTAGCGTTATATAAGGCACACTTTTATCAAGTCTTAATGAAAGAATTCTTCCTTCATTAAGCCTTCTCTTTTTCTTTTTAGAAAAAAATAACTGCGAACTATAGAAATTGTTCTTCTGCTCTCTTTTCTTTAATTTTCTCCTTCTCTTTTAAGAAATGACGGGAAAGAACGTTTAATAACGGAACTTTTTCCTCCGAGGAATAATGGAGAATAATGATTTTACGTCCGCTGAACATTCTCGTTATTTTTACACGATAAGGAAGAATTGTTTTAACTATCGGGTTAATAGACAAGCTAATATACGCTGTGAGAAGTTGAATTCGGTTCGGTTAAGCAATTTGTCGAGAAAGTTTCCGAGCGAGTTGGACAGGTACTGTGCTTTACGAAAACTAATTTTTAACGCAGTTTTTAGCATGAACGATACGGTGCACACCGGCTAATTGAAATTGCGCCTGTGTTCCGCCAGTAACTCGCAGAAATTTCGCGCAAGCATAGGTTCATGTCGTTATAAAAGGAGAGAGGGAAAAATTCATATCATCGATGACAGATAAATATTATACATCAGTGACTATTAATTATCATGCTGAAAGTCGCGAGACGTTCGCTAGAAATTTTCTGCGAAAATATCTCTATTTCCTGCGAAAAGAAACGGTAAAAGAGACTGTTTCCAGATAAAAATTTAATTAAAAGTTTCTCTTCTCTAATCGGTATTTTTAAAATGTCCGAGTCCATTGTATTTCTTTTGCTTCTATAAATTATTCCTCCTATTTTTCTTTCAAAAATGTCTCAGACTCGTAGAGCGAGATGTATATTCAATTTCAAATTTCTGCGAACGCAATTAAATAAATGTAATCTAAGCAGAAATTTGTTTCCACTGCCAGTTGTTGAGTACAACGAGTACTATTTTTCTACTTTCGATATTTTATATATTTTTTGCACACTGTGGGCAAAAAACTTTTGAAATTTTTGCATCCCCAGTATTTCATAATTTGACAAAATGCATAAAAATCTGCAATCTACTTATATAGGCTGATATTCTTTCCGCATATTTTGTATACAACTCATTATATACTCCTTTCATATTTCTACCTGAAGTTGTTCTTTATATCTTTTCTTCAACGACGTATCGATCCTTCGAAATAATTTCAAGATTCTGCACGTAGAATCACGGTCAATGCCAGGTACGATAATTTTAGACGAAGTGTACGTATACCTAAATATATCTTCCTCGAAGTTCAATCCAATTAAAATACTTTCATCTCAACAAGTTCAATCAATTCTTATCGCTTTTATTCCCTACGGGCCACGAACGAGAATACTTTCGCAGAGGAACTAATTGCAAGCTCAACGTTCGCTCAACAGTGTAGTTTGAAACAAAAAAGTGTACCTGCACGCGTTCAAACACGGGATAATGAAATATTCAAACGTCTGCATAAAGTTGTTTATTGCTTGTAAAAGTCGAACGAAGACTGTGAAAACTTTTTTTTTATTTTTTGACGACGACGTTAAATTCTTTTGAGTTCTGTCGTCTAAAAATCGTCACTTTTCACGAACGATACGACGACTTTACATGAATAATATCTTTTCTTCTTGCTGCTTGTTCTTCTTGCAAACTCGCGAAAGAGATGAACAGAGAGATTCCGTTTCTGAAAAACATTTTCCAGACATGCTCTATCAGCCTCGAAATAGTGATTTTAATGAATTTTGGTATTTGATTCAATTTATTGTTTTTAATAATTTGATTCAATGAATTATGGAATAACAGTTGTAATTATTTCATTTTTTTTTCTATTAAAATTAGATTTCTAAACCGAGATACGACACTATCTGCAGGTTTCAATTACCATATATCCAATTTCTTTATTTATAGAGTCGCTTGGGCAGATGTTCCATTTTACGATTTTAGATAATGCATTACTGAATCAGAATATAATTCAGAGCGAAATTTCCACGTTGGGAACTGTCGTACGTTATCGAGCATACACGTGACATTATTCAACGCTCCGCGGCATAACAGCGTAGCTCGCATATATGTCATTTACATATCGTTTATATTTTCCGTTGGTAAAATTGCATTTACATAAATTCCGGTCAGAGCAGACACGGCAGCAGTTAACGCGTTTTAAAAGTCGACTACTCTTTCAGCTTTGATTTCATTCAACCTCGCGAGCTACCGTTACGCAATTGTGTTACGCTGAGAAAATTTTACAAAGAAAATAATGAAATTTACCAATCACCTCGTATTAACGTGTTTTCTTCAATAATTGGACGAATTTCTCACGAAACTAAATTTCCACTTAACCTTGCCTTTGCGCGATTGCCTTTGAAGATAGAAACGCGTTTATTTAAATTGGAAAGTTCGTAAAAACTTGGGAACAAGTTTTCAATCGCAGCCGATTAATTTAAAGAATATCGAAAGTCGCTACTTATTAAAACGGTTGCAGCATTCCGCTCTAAACTTGATGAAAAATTATAGGCAAACTAATAGTTCATTTAGCTTAACAACTCGCTACAACAAATTAACAAAAATAAGCATTTTGTTAAAAAACAAAAAAGTCTGTACAACTCGAAATTCACGGCCCGTATCAAATATCGAGAGTTTATTAAAAATTGTAAATGTCACGAGACGTTTGAGTGGCTGTCTATTATTCTACGTGATGCCGAAACGTTTTAATTTCGGTCTCGATGAAACACGTTGGCGAAAAGGCAGAGAACTCTCATCTTCCATCAGCTTCCACCGGTTTCACGTGGCTTTATTTAACGCGAGAGCACGTCCCGCCAATTCTTTTGACGGCCACAAAGATCAGTCGCAGTTCGACTTGACATTCTCGATTTAATTACAGAGAGAATACTCGGTTCGAAGTGCATTCAAGGGCTCTTTATTCTGACCCTCGTCATTTCAGGACTTTCTGCGTCCTTGGATTTTCACTGTCGCTAACTTCAAACCGGCCATTTTGCGTAATTTGCTACGGGCTCGAGGGTCCATAAAACTTAACAGAAAACAATTACGCTCCAACGTAATGGATAAGGAAAAAAATTGATAAAAGAATTCGTACTGTATTACACGATGCTCTAGAATGTTTTGTATAAAGAAGGCCAACTAAGGGAGAAACACTTGAGCGAAATGGAAACAATAGAACAAGCTTTTACAATAAAAAACGGAGACGAGGAATATTCAAATACATGCAAGAAGCCATGAAAATAGGGGCTTTTTGCAGGGACGAATGAAAGAGAAGGTGATCTGAAGAAACCAAACTAACTGGACTAACCAAAAACAAGAGTATCTAAGTATTTTATACACACAGTATATATATATATATATATGTATGTATCTTATTATGTAATATAAACATATATGTAATGTTTTATTATTTTATTATATTATATATGTAAGATATTGCTAGATATATATATAATAGGATCTAAAATATTCCCAAGTTACTAAAGATTAAGCATAGGTAATAAATTAAAATAAGATTTATAATAGATATTTATGATAAATATTTATAACCTAATATATAAATAAAACCGAACAGTCGCAGAATTTGTACTAAAAAATGCACATAATTTAAAGTTCATAACGTATATTAAATACTGAAGTTTTCATTAAAAATGCGACGTGTCTGAAAATTTCTAAGCAGAGCTACATCTGCATGGACAGTTGGTAGAAGTATTGTAACTATGAATCATACAGTTCAGACACGTGAAATTTTTTTTTAGTGAAAAATATTTCGAGGTTTGGGAAATTCTCTTTTTTCCTTTTTTTTTTTTTTTTTTCGTTTACAGAACAAATACGAAATTCGATTGTCATCGAATGTACATGTACAGCGCTTTTCTCGCGAAAAGTTGCACGAGGTGCGTAAAATTAAAGCAAATACCGTGAATTGGAGCATAAAAAGCTTGTCAATCGATTAAATACAGAGGCGAGAGTGGCGCCGGTTATTGAAGAAAAAGAATCGTGTCAACTTGTTTAACACGAAGCTTCGAGTTAGCGAGTAAATTCATCTAAACTGTCGGACACCAGAAATGATCATTGAAAAATTGATTGGACGTTTTCCCTTAATTCTTCCTTTTTGTTATTACCATTTATTCAAACATTATTATCCAATTTTATCAACGTTTATTTAAACACTTTGTCGTATAGTAGAAATGTCTAATAAAAGCTACGATCTTTCCTTTCTAAACTCAATTTTTAACTCGATTGTCAACCAACGATAGCGATACTTTTAGACGTCGGAATGTGAAAGCATTAATTTTAAAAGGACAACAGAATTAACAGATTGTCAACGAGCTTGTCTAGAGCAAATGTTAAGAATCACGAACTGAAAAGGTGTGGATTCATACGGACGATATTCCGATTTAATCGGTTCATGAAACACCGACGTTCAGTGGCCGAATTCGGGTTTCGCGGTAGCGAATCTGCGGCTTTCACAATGGTAGACAGTCAGTTAATTAGTTAGTTACACATAAGGGGAATATAAATTAGCCGCAGTGTGGTGCAAAGCACGCGCCTCCGCAAACACGTATCTGCTATCCGTTTCCTTCGTACAGAAAACGCCGCTCCTTGATGACACATTGATATTGAAATTGATGAAAATCGACGCACGATGAATGAAGCTTAATTAAGGAAAGAGAATTCAATGAAATCCTACC